CAGAAGCAGGAGGCAGTGGAGAGGTCTAGCAGCAATCTGGATTAGGTAGGGCAGGGTGATGGAGTCCAGAGCGAGAAGGTGAAAGTGCTATGGTTTTTGTCTCCCCTCCATTCTGGCTTACCCACCACATCTTTTTTTTTTTTTTTTTTTTTGTGGTATGCGGGCCTCCCACTGTTATGGCCTCTCCCATTGTGGAGCACAGGCTCCGGACGCGCAGGCTCAGTGGCCATGGCTCACGGGCCTAGCCGCTCCGCGGCATGTGGGATCTTCCCGGACCGGGGCACGTACCTGTGTCCCCTGCATCGGCAGGCAGACTCTCAACACTGCGCCATCAGGGAAGCCCCCCACCACATCTTTTTGATGAAAGGCCCTAAAGTTATTAGATGAGGGAGACTTTTTGAAATCCTAGACCCAGAGCCATAGAAAATGAAGTGTCTCCTGATCCATCTTTTTTCCCCAGGGCCAGAGTGAGCACCTTGAACTCAAAGATGAAAGTTCACCATTCTTATCTTCTCCTTACCTCTCTTCCTTTCCTTGGCTCCAGATGTGGGCTGGTAACAGACCTGGGCAAGGACAAAGTGAAGGGCATACTGCCTCCAAAGCAGGCATCTTGCCAGATGCCAGGATCCAGCCCAAGTCTGTGCTTATAGCCCCTGGCCCTGTGTTGCATCACTCCCGTTCCCACCGCACTCACCCTGCCTACCCCCATTTCTTGAAGCTTATAGCTCGCCTCATGGTCATTTCATCCCCAACTCATGTTCCCTCCTTGCCATGAAACCTCTACTGGGATGCTCCTACCATCCCCGCCACCCCTGCTTCAGCGCTGAGTCCAAGGGGAGAACAGAATGGTGGGGCCTGAGTGAGGATGGATAGAGACCCCGCAAGGGGATACATCTGACGGCCCCCTCCCTCTTAGACTTTGGTTGCCAAGGAGGCAGCAAGAACAGCCTGTTCTCTGGGCTCCCATTGGAACAGCTATGCCCAGGCCCCTCCCTCTCTTCCTTCCCTTTCCTTCTCTCCCTCCCAGACTGTTGCTAGGAAGCACCCCAAGATTTCTCAAGGGTCCCACCCCTAGAAGCCAGGGGATCCAGATTGCTTTCTGAATAGCTTCCCCAAAAGCCTGGAAGCCAAGACCCCACACAGCATTCTCCACCCCTGCCAAGAAGCCCCAAACAGTTTGGGGGAACAGGGGACAAGCCCTCTGCCAGCCTGTCCTGGAACTAGCTCAGTGGCCTGGGCCTCAGTAATTCCTCTCCCCATCTCATCTTGACCTCCTGGGCTCTGAGTGATGTCAGCAAGTGATGAGGTGTCCAGCAGACACCCCTTGACTCTGCAGACACAGCCCCACTTATTGGGGAGTTCTGGAAAGACTCTGGAAAGCAGAGGAAACTGAGGTATCACCAACTAAGAGAACTTAAAACCCAGGTATTTCTCCCTCTTACCAGTTTTTTAATCAAGAAAAGATGGTGGAAATGGAGGAAAGAAAGGGGGGTCAGTTTATGGGAATTGGGGATTAAGTGGCTGGCAGAGATGAGAGACTGGGAAATTAGCAAACAATTGTCCTGCTAAGAGTAAAGTGGCCACTTAATGCCCCCCTATCGACCACATTTGTCCCATCACGTGCCCTGGTTATGGGTCACAAAAAAGAATCAGCGAAGGGACTCGGGCCTGGCTGAGCCTTGCGTTTGGTATCTGAGGATAGAAATGGAAAACCAAGCTGACACCTTCTCCAGGTTGTCTTTCAGAGTTTCTCCTACTTTTATTCATTCATTTGACACTTTTTTTTGAACATTTAATACATGCCAGGTATTGGATCTCCTAAACGTGCCCAGCTTCTGGTTTCTCTGCCGTGTGGATCCCCTTCGTCCTGCTTTGCCAGGAGGAGAGAGGAGGGGAGGGGTATGGGGCAGTCTCCTTTACCTACCACACTGCAGCCCTCCCCCTTCAGTTAAAGGAGAGATGGGACAGGTTGAAGTGGAGGCCAAGAGTACAGAGTGGCTCTCAGGGCCCGGAGGAAGGAGCAGCTGGCCTGTCCAGGATTCAGGATCACAGCACTCTTTTCTCCGCGCTGGAGGGTGTGGAGAGGGAAGGCATCCTTCAGGGTGTTAGGGAGGAAACAACTCCAAGGATTGGTTCAAATTCTGCCTTTCACTGTCCTGGCTTGTCTCTTTCTGGACCTTTCCTGGGGGCAGTGGGAAGACAGAGATGGAACTGTGGGCATCCAGGAGCTGTCCCTGGAACTACCTCGTAGCCTTCTCCCCATCTTCCTCTTCCCCAGATAGACAGAGAGCAGGGATTCTGAGGTGGGGACTGGTGGGGGGAGGGAACTGGTTTGGAGCCAGCTGTGTATGAGTGTGTGGGAACAACTCTCTTTCTTTCCCACCCACCTGCTGCCAATTAACTCCCCTTAGTGGGGGGACCCAGGCAAGCATCCAAAGGAAAATGTTCCAGTTAGAGGAGGGGAAACGAGTCAGTTACCCTATAGAGAGAAGGGAAGATGAAACCCTTTGTGCGTTGTACGCTTACCAAGTATTTCAGTGTTTCTGGGTCTAGACTTGCCACTTTTCCTTATACTTCTTTACAGCCTAGGTGAGGAATGTTTCCATGTCCTTGGTTACCAAAACCCCAATTCCTCACAGCCTCTTACTCCACCCCAAGTCCTCACTCTGACCTAGTTCCTTTTCTGCTACTGCTCCAGTGTCGCCATGTCACTCTGCCTGGCTGGCTTCTATCTGCCCCTCTTCTCCAGCCAGACCCCTTCCCCAGGCAGACCAGGCAACAAGATGAAGAGCTTGGGGCTCAGGGCTAAGAGAGCAGAAGTGGGAGCCCAGTCTGGATCAGTGCTGAGGGAGAAGGAAAGGATAGCCAAGGAAAGTGGAATATGTAAGAGGGGCTGTGTGTGGGGCGGGTTTCCTTCTACACACAAAGGGGATGTTGGCATCTCTTCTCTCATCCACAGGAGTATTATCATGGAGTCCTGTCCTTGTGGAGGGCAAGCCAAGAGCTTGTGAGTCCTAGGAAGCTATTCTGGGCTGAAGGGGAGCAGTGGTGTACAGAAAGGCTGTCTCTGAAATTGACAGACTAGAGCGTCAGGCCAAAGTAGAGAAATTGGAAATAGCCCTTGCCCAGAACTAAGGAAGCCCTTTTAGGGAATTCCCTGGTGGTCCAGTGGTTAGGACTCCACACTTTCACTGCCAAGGGCCCAGGTTCAATCCCTAGTTGGGGAACTAAGATCCCACAAGCCATGCGGCATGGCCAAAAAAATAATAATAATAAAAATAATAATAAGGGAGTTCTTTTACACCCTTAGGAGTCCAGTCCTTGGGGAAACCCTGCCAAACCAAGAGAAAGGGCTGCTGGTGACAGGTGGGGGATAGGGAAGGCAGACTGTCTCACCACAGAAGCCACCTCCCTGCCACTGTAAAGTGGGGAGGAGGCGCCCCCCGGAGATCTGCCAGCTTCCTGAAAGAAGGGGATGATTTTTTTTTTTTTTTTGCGGTACGCGGGCCTCTCCCGTTGCAGAGCACAGGCTCCAGACACACAGGCTCAGCGGCCATAGCTCACAGGCCCAACCGCTTCTTCGCGGCATGTGGGATCCTCCCGGACCGGGGCACGAACCCGCGTCCCCTGCATCGGCAGGCGGACTCTCAACCACTGCGCCACCAGGGAAGCCCAGAAGGGGATGATTTGAGTTCAGACTATCACTATCCTCAGGGCCCAAACGTTCTCCACTCCCATGTGGACTGGACCAAATACCTACTAAGTCAGGAGCAGTAACAAAGTTGACAGTTTTTCTCCAAGAGGGCAGTTTGGGCTCTGATGGATGGGAAAGGAGCTGCAAGATCCAGGGATGGGTCAAGGTGGGGAGCCCTAAGCTGCAGTAACAGCAAAGAGATGAGAGGAGGGAAGAGGCAAAGGTAGAGTGAGGGGCCTGGGAGAAGAAGGGGAGCCAGATATGTGAGGGACTGCTGAGAAAAAGGGTCTGTGGCTGTCTCCAGTATATGTGTGTGTGTGTGTGGGGGCGAGTTTGGAGGTTAAGTGTGAGGAGTCTGGGTTCTCCCTCCTTCCTGCTTTGGAAGCTTTGGCTACACATATTTAGCAGCTGTTTTGTATAAACATAATTTCCCCGTGGTGTCGCTTGGGCAGGCACTAAAGGGAGCAGAATGGAAGGGGTTGTGGGTGGGTTATGGGGATGGAGGAAGGCCATAGGCAGTCATGACCTTAGAGGGATGTGATCTGGCTCTCCTCCAGGTGCACTCTCCTCTTCAGAACAGGAGTTCTTGTCTCCCTGTTTAGACTATGCTCCAGATACCCAGGATCCTGTGATTCTCTGCCCTGAGGGCCTCATGTTTGCTTCCAGGGCCTTAGTGGACTGCTCTTCCAGAGTCATCCCTCTGAGAACTGATTTTGCCACTGAAAGTATGACCAAAGAATGGTTATTGGGAAATATGGATGGAGCTTGGACTCATGGATGGGGATATGAGGCTCCTCACAGTATGGGATGGGGGGCTGAGAATAGGGGTAGCAGGACACTGGCTGGAGGCTTCCATGTTGTTCTGGTTGTAAATGTTAGCGATGACCTGTCCACGGGACAGGACAGGGATGAGGCCTGTGTATAGGGAAGCTCAGATGAGGCCCAGATGTTGGGTTAGAGGTGGGTAGCATTTGCTTTTGGCTTCTCACTGCAGGGAAGGGAGGAAGAAAGGCTAATAGCCCAAACACTGGACATAATTATCTACGATATGGTTCCATAGAATAAAGCGAGACATTATATTGGTTTTAATAAACATTTCTTTAAAGAATAGTTTTAGATTTATAGGAAAAAATTTGAAGATAGTAGAGGGTCCTTATGTACCCCACACCCAACCCCCCGCCTTTAACCTCTTACATTAGTATGGTTCATGTTACAATTAATGAACCAATATTGATACATTTTTATTAACGAAAGTCCACGCTTTATTCAGATTGCTTAGTTTTCACCTAATGTTCTTCTGTTTCAGGATCACATTCAGGATACCAAGTTACATTTAGTCATCGTGTCTCCTTAGGTCCTCTTGACTGTAACAGTTTCTCAAACTTTCCTTATTTTCTATATCCTAAACCTCAGTTTCCTCCTTATGTCTCCCTGTAGTCAAGCAGTATTCTGGGCCAAGAGATTCTGAGAGGACTTCCAGATTTGGGGGTGAAGTAGTGGGTGAGGTGTGTACAACTGACAGAGACTCAGTGTCACTTCTGGAATACAGGTGTGGAAATGAGAAGAACTCAGGAAGATCCAGGGGTTTAGGAGAACAAAAGGAGGCCAGGAAAGAGAAAACCTATTGCTGAACGTATGCCACACCTTTGGTGTACCTACTAACTACGGGTAATGGAAGGGTGTCGGAAAGTGATTTAAATGCTCGGTCGATAGTGACGTCACTGGACGATGCCTGATAAAAGGGAGACCTTTCGAGAGCCTTTCTCCCTAAGCCCCCCGAGTCTTTGGGATGCCTCAGCTCCTAGTAGTCTTTTCCTAAAGGAGAGAAACAATGCGAGCTGACCAGCTTCGTCTCTTGGGTTCCTCGCTTAGCGTCCTCGCTAGCGGAGTCCAAGGAACTACAACTCCCAGAAGACATCGTGGCATGAGCGGTCTCTTGCTGCATTCCTACTGGTTCATGTTTGTTACTCCCAGCCAATAGAAAATTAGCTCTTTGATAAGTGCCAAAATGGCGGTACCTAGGCTCTAGGACTGGATTATCCGGTAGGCTTAAATTTGGGGAGGTGGTGGATGAAAAGGAAAGAGGGAATTATAGTTTTAGGGTTGGGGAAGGTGGAGGGAATGCGGGGGCGGAATCTGGATTTGGGATGGTAGTGGCTGAGGGACGCAGCCAGAGCTAAGGGCGTATTTAGGCAACCGGAACTGGCTTAACCCCTTGGTACCCATTTATTCTTCGTATTAAGCCCATTTGACACCCTCTTCTTAGTGCTCCAGTTTAGAGAAAGTTGATTCAGGAGGGAAAAGCCTGACAGGATCCCTACTTTTCCCCTTTCTCCTTTCTCCTTTTCCGCATTTTTGTTCTGCCTCCCTTTAATCATCCTGTATCTTCTCCATTCAACTCTGTGCTGCACCCCTGCCCCCCGTTCTTTTCCTCAGAATCCCCTAGCCCCTTCTCTAGCTCGACTTCTCCCACCTCAAGGCTGACCGCCACGGGCCCCGCCTCCTCAGAGTAAAATCATGAAGGTGGTGAACCTGAAGCAAGCCATTCTGCAAGCTTGGAAGGAGCGATGGAGTGACTACCAGTGGGCAATCAACATGAAGAAATTCTTTCCCAAAGGAGCCACCTGGGACATTCTCAACCTAGCAGGTCTCAAGTGAAGTAGGAAGGAAGGATGGGAGGGCTAAACCCAAAATTGTTGTAACCGCTCAGTCTTCCTTTGTTATTCCCCTTGCAGAAGCACTACTGGAGCAGGCCATGATTGGACCTTCCCCCAATCCTCTCATCCTGTCCTACCTGAAGTATGCCATTAGTTCCCAGGTAAACTCTTCCACCTATGCCAGAGAATGAGGGTTTGAAGGTAAAAGACTTGGAATACAGTTGTCAGCTCACACTTTCTAGGTGAATTTGTTTGAACACATCATTTCTCTGAGCCTCAGTTTTCTTATGAAAATAATAGTACTTCATTGGTTATGATGAATATTACGTTAACTTATTCTATCAGTAAATATTCACAGATGCTTGTATGTGCCAGACGGTGCCATAGGCTCTGGGGATTTAGCTGTGAACAAGGTCTAATCCAAGCACTCAAGGAATATAGTGGGTAATACAGTCATGTAAATAAGCAGTCAGTCACAGAATGGGACTATGATATAGGCTCGGACAGAGTACTATGGGAGTACATAGGAGGGATACCTAATCCAGTTTGAGCAACCAGGTAGGAAGTGATGTTTAAACCAAGACGTGAGTGTTGAGTGGGAGTTAGCCAGGCAGATGGATGAGTGTGTACAAAGCAGAGAGAAAAGCATATGCAACGGCTGGGAGACAAACATCACATGATGTTTAGGAACTGAAAATAATGTGGTATGGCTAGAGTAGCAGTTTTGGTCTCAGGACATTTTGTATTCTTAAAAATTGAGTCTCCTACAGAGCTTTTGTTTAGATTATATCTATTCATATTTACCACTTTAAAAATGAAAGCTGAGAAATGTAAAAACTATGTATTTAAAAATAATAAAAAGTAAACCCATTATATATTAATATAAGTAAAATTTTAATGAAAAATAACCATATTTTACAAAACAAACAAAAAAAATTAGTGAGGAAGCTGGCATTGTTTTACATTTTTGCAAATCTCTTTAACTTTGACTTAATAGAATACAGCTGAATTCTCATAGCTGCTTCTGCATTCAGTTGTTGCAGTAGGCTGTTTCAGCTGAAGTATATGAAGGAAATCTGGCCTCACACATCAGGTATTTAGTTTGAAAAGGGAAGAACATTTTAATAAGCCTTTCAGATAAATGTAGATATTCTTTGACATTCCACTAAAGTTCAATAGGTGATGTGAAATCACATCAATGAACTTTTAATACTCTGTTACATTAAAATCCATTGGTCTCTCTCTTGCGCTTTGAATAGATCTTTTACCCATGCCTGATTTTATAAATTGTGAATTGGTCATTTGGTAAATATCCATTACTAAGTTATATAGATATTCTAATTGTTGACACATTTAATTACATAGTGTAATCACATGTCATGGAGCCTCTGGGACATTCCACTGTACAATTGTGAGAGAATAAGAGTAAAAAAGGGGGGCTTCCCTGGTGGTACAGTGGTTAAGAATCCACCTGCCAGTGCAGAGGACACGGCTTCAAGCCCTGGTCCAGGAAGATCCCACATGCCACGGAGCAGCTAAGCCTGTGCACCACAACTACTGAGCCTGTGCTCTAGAGCCCGCAAGCCACAACTACTGAGCCCATGTGCCACAACTACTGAAGCCCGTGCACCCAGGGCCCATGCTCTGCAACAAGAGAAGCCACCACACCACAACCAAGAGTAGTTCCCACTCGCCCCAACTAAAGAAAGCCCACGCGCAGCAACGAAGACCCAACGCAGCCAAAAATAAATTAATTAATTAATTTTAAAAAAAAGAATGAACTACTGACATACACAACATAAAGCTCAGCAACATTTATGTTAAATAAAAAAAGATAGCGTTAAGAGTTTATACTATATGAGTCCATTTCTATGAAATCCAAATATAGGCAATAGTTATCTATGGTGATAGAAAACATTTAGTGGACTAGAAAAGGAAAGATGGACTAGAAAAGGGTACAAGGAAACTTTCTGGGAGAATGGAAACATTCTGTATCTTATTTTGGAAGTTAGTGACATGGGTATACACAATTACTAAAACTCAATGAATTAATCTTAAAAGCTGTACGTTTTATTGCACGTTAAATAGTGTGTATATATATATATATATATATATGTATAAATCCTATCACACTATTCCTCCACTTAAAACCCTTTAAATGATTATTCATCACCCTAAGGTAAAGTCCAAACTCCTTAGCATCACCCACAGGTCACTTATGACCTAACCTCTGTCTTTCTCTCTAAACCATTCTCCTCCTTGAAGTGCTAACCCAGCAGTTATCAAAATATGGTCCAGGAGCCCCTGGGGATCTGTGAGGTCAAAACTGTTTTTAAAATACTAAGATGTCATTTGCCTTTTTTACTCTTTTTTTAAAGCAATGGGATGCTTTGTGTGTGTGTGTTTATAAAAATTTATTTATTTATTTATTTATTTGTGGCTGTGTTGGGTCTTTGTAGCTGTGTTCAGGCTTTCTCTAGTTGCAGCGAGTGGGGGTTACTCTTCATTGCGGTGCGCGGGCTTCTCATTGCAGTGGCTTCTCTTGTTGCGGAGCACGGGCTCTAGGCGCGCGAGCTTCAGTAGTTGTGGCACACGGGCTCAGCAGTTGTGGCTCGCGGGCTCTAGGGCGCAGGCTCAGTAGTTGTGGCTCACGGGCTTGGTTGCTCAAACCCGTGTCCCCTGCATTGGCAGGCGGATTCTTAACCACTGTGCCACCAGGGAAGCCCTTCATTCTTTTTTTAAATTGCTGAGTAGGGACTTCCTTGGTGGTCCAGCAGTAAAGAATCCACCTTACAATGCAGGGGACACGGGTTTGATCCCTGGTCAGGGAACTAAGATCTCACAAGCTGTGGGGCAACTAAGCCCGCATGCCACAACTACTGAGCTCGCATGCCTCAACTAGAGAGCCTGCGTGCCGCAAACTACAGAGTCCACACTCTGGAACCTGCATGCCACAACTACTACAGAGCCCACGCACCCTGGAGCCTGTGCGCCACAACTAAAGAGAAAACCTGCATGCCTCAAGTAGAGAGAAGCACGCACACCTGCAACAAAAGATCTTGCATGCCTCAACAAGGATCCCGTGTGCCGCAACTAAGACCCGACGCAGCCAAAAATAAATATAAATAATAAATCTTAAAAAAAAAAATTGCTGAGTGGTATTCCTCAGCTGGCTCATGGTTCTTATGCTTCCTTTTTCCTCTTGGCATCAAGTCTGCTTTCTGTGTTGGCACATATTCATCTACCTTGTTCTTTTTTTAAAATAAATTTATTTATTTTTTATTTATTTATTTTTGGCTGCATTAGGTCTTCATTGCTGTGTGCGGGCTTTCTCTAGTTGTGGCGAGTGGGGGCTACTCTTTGTTGCGGTGCATGGGCTTCTCAACTGTGGTGGCTTCTCGTCGTGGAGCACGGGCTCTAGGTGCACAGGCTTCAGTAGTTGTGGTGTGCGGGCTCTAGAGCACAGGCTCAGTAGTTGTAGCACATGGGCTTAGTTGCTCTGTGGCATGTGGAATCTTCCTGGGCCAGGGATCAAACCCATGTCCCCTGCATTGGCAGGCAGATTCTTAACCCCTGTGCCACCAGGGAAGTCCCTACCTTTTTCTTTTTCACTGCTGCCTAGTGTTCCATATGTAGTGTAATTTAAGTTGTTTTAAATTTTTTACTGTTATAGTCAATGTTTTACTGAACATTCTTGTACTTGCCTCTGCATATCTGGGACTATTTCCCTAGGATAGATAGCTAGAAATGGAATTGCTGATTTGAAGAGTGCACACATACTAAATTGTAGTAGATCCTGCAGATTGCCCTCCAAAAAAGGATTGTATCAGTTTACACCTGCCCCATAGTGCTTGATAGTATTTCCCCACACCTTTGCCAAGGTTGACTCTTTTAAGAGTATTTTCTAGAGAGGCAAAAAATTACAACATGTTATAAGGTGTATTTCCATGATTGTGATATTGAGCGTATTTTTTCATGTTTACTGGCTCTCTGTGTATATTGTGTGAATTACTTATGAATATCATTTGCCCATTTTTCTGTCATTAGTTTGTTTTCTTAAATTTTTTAGTAACAGCTTTATTTGAGATATAAATCACATACCATACAGTTTACCCATTTAAGGTGTACGATTCACTGGTTTTTAGTATATTTAGAATTGTGCAACCATCACCACATTTAGAACATTTTCATCACTCCAAGAATTCTTACTGATTTTTCAGTCTTTTAGTATATTCTGTCTTGTAATCATTGTCTGATTTTTATGTTTTAAATTTTCTATCACTTTTTTACTTTATCATTTTATTTTTTTAGCATGCAGAATTCTATTTATTTATTTATTTATTTTGGCTGCACAGTGTGCCTCGCAGGATCTTAGTTCCCCAACCAGGCATTGAACCCAGGCCCTCGGCAGTGAAAGCATGGAGTCCTAACCACTGGACTACCAGGGAATTCCCCAGAATTTTATTTTATTATTAACTTTTAAAATATTTATTTATTTGGCTGCATCGGATCTTAGTTGCGGCACACAGGATCTTCATTGTGGGCATGGACTTCTCTCTAGTTCAGGCTTACGGGCTCTAGAGCGCACGGCCTTAGTTGCCCCGCAGTATTTGGGATCTTAGTTCCCCAACCAGGGATCGAACCTGCGTCCCCTGCATCGGAAGGCAGATTCTTGACCATTGGACCACCAGGGAGGTCCCTCCCCAGAATTTTAAATATGTATTTGTTGTCAGGTTTAACCATTTTTTCCTTTATATGGCTTTTGTCTTGCATAAGGGCTTCCCTGCTCCGAGGATCAGAATATAGTCTTTAATTTCTGCCAACACTTCACTTTGTTTAATCCATTTAAAACTTATTCTGGGGTGAGGAAGAGATCCAAATTTATTTATTTTTCCAAATAGATGGACAGTTGGCTCAACTGCCTTTATTGAATAGGCCATTCTTTGTCATATCTTAAATTCTCTTATAGACTAGGGTCTATTTCTTGACATTCTAGTATATATCATTGACATATTTGTCTTTTCTTGTACCAGTACTTTACTGTTTTAATTACTATACCTTTATAGTATGTTTGATATCTTGTTAGGGAAGTGTTCCCTTAGTTGTTTTATTTTTCAAAAATTTCTTGGCTATTTTCAGGCATTTTCTTTTCCAGACAGATTTTAGACTTAAGTCCCTTAAAAAGACCTTTTGCATTTTGATTGGGGTTTCCTTGACTTTGTGGATTTGTGGATCAATTTTAGAAAGATCACTCTGATTGCAGTTTGAAGAATGAGTTGGAGGGAGGTAAGACAGAAAGCAGGGAGACAATTTTTCTGTAAAGGACCAGATAATAAATGCTTTCAGCTTAGCAGGCTGTATGGTCTCTGTTAGCAGGCCTATAGCGTGTAGGCGATATAGAAGTAAGTGGACATGGCTGTGTCCTGATGCAGCTTTATTTACAAAAAATGGTGATGAGCCGGATTTGGCTCGCGAGCTGTTGTTTTCCAGCCCCTGATTTCGGCTGTTGCAGGGATTCAGGTAAGAGACGATACCAGCATAAACTTGAGAAGTGGCAGCAGAAAAAAAAAAAGGTGAATTCAAGAACAAATTAGGAAGTGGCATTGCGGGGACTTGGTGATTAGCTGGATGAAAGGTGTGAGCGAGAGGAAGAAGTCAAGGCCAGTGTCTAGGTGTCTGGTTTGGACATCCGGATGGCTGATGGGATCGTAAGGAGACGGTGGGAGAAGAGCAGGACTGTTGTTAGCATTGCAGATGAGGGGTGGAGATGCCTTGTTTGATTCTGGCCTTGTTTCGTGGAAAGCGCCTGTGTGGGCTGTCAAAGAGAAGACACTCAGTAGGCAGTAGAACATCGATGTCTGGGACTCAGGAGGAGAGGTCAGGGCTGGAGCTACGGTTTAGGAGTTGTCAGCCGCAGGTGGTAATTGAAGGTATGGGCATGGGTGAGATTTACCCAGAGAGAGCGTGCAGAGGGAGCAAAGAAGTGACCCAAACCATGTTTCTAAGGAACCAGTCACATTTAAGGAACACACATAGGAAGAGAATTCCTCATAGGAGTCTGAAAAGAAGGGGCCAGTGAGGAGAGAAGGAAAACAAGGGAGTGTGGTATCAAGAAAAACCCAGGGGGGACTTCCCTGGCGGTCCAGTGGTTAAGACGCTGTGCTTCCAATGCAGGGGCCGGGGGTTCGATCCCTGGTTGGGGAACTACGATTCAGCATGCCTCAAGGCGTGGCCAAAAAAAAGAAAAGCCCAGGGAGGAGAGGACCAAAGGATGAGGAGGTGTTTCCTGGTGTGAGATGCCGCTGAGAGGTCAGCGAGATCAGAACTGAGAAGTATCCATGGGGTTTAACAAGTTTGTTGATGAGCTTAATGAGAGATTTCATGTGGTGGGAAGGACAGAAGTGATTGGAGTGGGTCGCATTGTGAATGGAAGGTGGGGAGGTAGAGTGTAGAGAACTCCTATGACTGTGAAGAGAGCGTGGTGGTTAATTGGAAGTATAGGGTCTGCAGGAGTTTCTTTTAAAAAGAGAAGAATCTTGAGATGTGTAAACTGGTGGCAAAGGCAAGAGAGAGGAAGAGGCTGAAGTACCAGTGAGTGAGAAATAAATATATATGCAAGACCTCCATGACTTGCAAAGTGCTGTGCAAAATTAGTAATTTATTCTTCCTTCGGAGTCAAGAGGCTCTTTGGTCCAGTGCTGTGCGTGTAGAGAGCCCTTAGGAGTAGTTGAAGGCGTCGAATATGAAGAAGGGAAGGGGGATTAGAGAGCAGCTGCAGGGTCTCTCTGGGCTGGCCAGGTGTGCACTGGGCTGCGTCAGTGGGCTCCAGCCTTGGGGGCTGGTGGTAGTTCAGAGCTTCTACGTTGATAGATATAGTAGGACTGAGATAAGTTATAAGTCCTGCTGTGAAAAACAGTTCACCATGTGGAAAGTATTTTTAGGTCTTTAGAGTAGAGGGCTTTATCGATACTGTTAGCAGAAATTCACTGAACACAATTCTGAATTTGGAGACCATAAATTCATAGTAACTAACAACATCCCTTAGAACATACAGAATTGGGGCTTTCTCTTGTGGTAGTTTGGGGTCAGTTTCTAGTGGAAACATCCAGCTCCCCCTTCAGGTTGGTATCCAACAAGGTTCAGTTCACTTCCAAGCTCTTGCTATGGGGACATCAGTTATTAATAAACAAACACTCGCCTGGAATGCTATGGTCATCCTGCCAGGCAGGCTCCCAACTTTCTGGTCCCTGTCAGACACCAGCTAGTGCTTCACAGCATGACCCGCTGAGAGTGGCACTAAACACTAGTTGTGTATTTAAGTCCTCTGTGTGTTTTGCTCCTCTTTATCCAAGAATACTGGTTAAAAAATGTCTGAACAGAGAGCAGCCTGTTCATGTGAGGGAGAAATTATACATGGAAGGCATTGCCAAGCATGTAAAATTTGCCATACTGAGTCATTGAGGGTGACTTAGCTTTCTTCTTTTTTTAAAAAAATTTATTTATTATTTTTGGCTGCGTCCGGTCTTCGTTGCTGCGCACAGGCTTTCTCTAGTTGCGGCGAGTGGGGGCTACTCTTCCTTGCGGTGCACGGGCTTCTCATTGCAGTGGCTTCTCTTGCCGCGGAGCACGGGCTCTAGGTGCACAGGCTTCAGTAGTTGCGGCTCGCGGGCTTCGGTAGTTGTGGCTTGTGGGCTCTAGAGCGTAGGCTCAGTTGTTGTGGCGCACGGGCTTAGTTGCTCCGTGGCACGTGAGATCTTCCTGGACCAGGGCTCGAACCCGTGTCCCCTGCATCGGCAGGCAGACTCTCAACCACTGCACCACCAGGGAAGCCCGCTGTAATTATTTTTTAAAAATATGACAACTTAAAAGCTCTCTGTTAGGTTTGATTTCATTCAGGACAGATTATTTCTTTTGAACTACATCTCCAATCTTATAATGGTGATAATAGGTTTTGCTAATAGAAATTTGTGTTACGGTAAAATTTTTTCAGAATGCTAGTTACTAGAATTCATCAAACCAAAGCAGTCCTACTATGTGGTAGGCCCCAGACTAGGTTCTAGGGAAACATATAAATTTAACACTATTTCTGTTCTCAGGGATCTTGCTGTTCAGATGGCATTTTGCGAAATGTGTGTTGCAGATACTAGTTAAATGAGATTCCTTGGTCAAGTAAATTGGAAAAATATTGCTTGCTTCATCTCCAGTGATCTTAGAGAGTCTCATTGTACACAAGTATATTATTATGGGTAAGAGCAGTCCTACAGTAAAGAAAGCTCTTTACTAAAAGAACCCTTAAAAAAAAGCTCTCTGTGTATGTTTATTTCAGGGTTTCTCAAATTCATATCACACAGAAGCTCTGTGTACGTGTGTGCATGTGTAAAAGTTTTTAACATCTTGAGGACCCTTTGGAACAGCATCACCCAATAGAACTTTCTACAGTGATAAAAATGTTCTGTATCTGCGCTGTCCAGCACAGCAGCCACTAGCCCCATGAGCCTGTTGAGCACCTGAAATGTGGTTACTATGAGTAAGGAACTGAATTTTTAATGTTATTTAATTTAAACTTAAACAGCCATATGTGGCTAGTGGCTTCCCTATTGGACAGTGCAGCTTTGGAAGCTACTTTGAGGAATATTGATCTAAAGTTGTGTTTTACTTATGCATTCTACAAACATTAACAAGTTGATGGTGGTCACTGAGTAAAATCACCCTTGTCTTTTTTTTTTAACATCTTTATTGGAGTGTAATTGCTTTGCAACGTTGTGTTAGTTTCTGCTGTATAACAAAGTGAATCAGCTATATGCACACGTATATCCCCATATCCCCTCCCTCTTGCGTCTCCCTCCCACCCTCCCTAAGCACCGTTGTCTTCAAGGAGCTCCTAGTTTGGTGGGGGCAGCAGGTACCCACTGTGTAATGATGGGTCTAAGGGGATTACTTGGAGCACCGAGAAAGGATGTCAGCTTTGGGTGGTGTCCTGGAGGTATCCTAGAGCATGAGTATGTGTATTGAAATTCACCTCCTATTTCAAAGTGGAGTTACTACCTGTTCATTGCAAGAGCAGTTCGTATGTCTCCAGTTCTTGTCCAGATAAAATCACCCTTGGTAGGAGTTGCAGGAGTAGAGTAACTGACCTCACTCGTGTCCATTCTTCTGCCCACCAGCAGTCAAACCTTGTACTATACGGTGGACAGTGTGTGGCAGGTGAACATGAGACATGGCCCCTTTGAATACTCCCAAATCATCTTCTTAGTGGGTTTATGCTGGTGCTGTCAATCATAGTGAGTTTGATGGAAGCAGGGATGGGCACAGTGCCTGGTGTTACTGCCTCGGGGCTTGTGGAAGACCTCTTGAAGGGGTTGAGATTTTAGGAGCGACTTTAAGTGTCTGTGTTTTGTTCCTCTCAACTGTGTTGTTCCTCTCAGACACCAGTTTTCTGAACTTTATCTTTCTTCTTTCCCTCCAGATGGTGTCCTACTCCTCCGTCCTCACAGCTATCAGTAAGGTATGACCATAGATACTTACAAGCTAGATGGGGGATGGGGGGACAGAGATATGGTAGTGACAGATGGGGCCCCACCTCCTTGACTGCTCTGATAGAGTGACCTCTGTGGTTGGGCAGGCAGCACAGCATGCCTCTGGCTGGCATGGCTGCCTCCCATTAGAGGGAGGGGGATCCTAGGAAGTGGGCACTGGCAATTAGGAGCCAATTTCCAATGTTGAAAGGCTGCCGAGTCTGAAACCTGGGGTTGGAGGAAAGATGAGCAGGACTCGTGAATGCGCCAACTGCCTCATGTTTGAGACTGGGGGGTGACTGGGACACCCCGTCGCATCGCCACTGTTCTCTCCACAGTTTGATGACTTTTCCCGGGACCTGTGTGTCCAGGCTTTGCTGGATATCATGGACATGTTTTGTGACCGACTGAGGTAATGGCAGGGATGAGGAGCTCACCACCTTCCAGCATTACCTTAGTGTAAAGGAGAAGCTCCCGGCATATAGGCTCAGACCACCTCTGTTGGTTCCCACACTTCTTCCCACCTGCTCGTCTGCACCCACCCATCCACGTCTTTTTCTACTTACTCCCTTAGGACTAAAGTGCCTCTTCTCTATTTGGAGTAACTCATTTGAAATCTTATCCGGTGAAAGCCAACAGGGCAGTCTTCCCCAGGACTTTGCAAGCTTCCCAACTTTCTTCCCTAGTAAGGGAGTGCCAGGCACTCTGGGGAACACGGGTGTGGGTCGGATTTCAGCCTTTGGATCAAAGACAGATTTTGCATCCTTTCCCGGTAGCTGTCATGGCAAAGCAGAGGAGTGCATCGGGCTGTGCCGGGCCCTTCTCAGCGCCCTCCACTGGCTGCTGCGCTGCACCGCAGCCTCTGCAGAGCGGCTCCGGGAGGGGCTGGAGGCCGGCACCCCAGCGGCTGGTGAGAAGCAGCTTGCCATGTGCCTGCAGCGCCTGGAGAAGACCCTCAGCAGCACCAAGAACCGGGCCCTGCTCCACATCGCCAAACTAGAGGAGGCCTGTATGTCCCCTGGTTCCCTGAGCCCCACCCGTCACTGCTCCCATAGCTGGTTCTTTAATTGAGAGGGGAGAGGCAGGATGCCATCCCACTTTTTTCCAGGAGGATCTGAAATCATCCCACTTCCTTTTTTTTCTCCCCATAAGCATTGCATACATCCCAGGGACTTGGGCAGGGTGGCACCCGAGCCAATCAACCAACAGGTATTTACTGAGCATTATTGTACGCCCAGCACTGTGCCAGGTGCTGGGGGTGGGGGCGGGGGGCTACCGAAGGGGCATGTGGCAGGGTCCCTGCCCTCAACAAGTGTACGTGCTAGTGGGGAGCAAGGCTAGTACATAATATACATGGAAAAAACGAGAGGTCAAGACAAGCACGCCATCCATCGCTGTGTTTGTCTCCTTGTTACTCATCTGAAAGCAGATAACTTTTGTGTTTGAGTGCTGCCTAAAACATCCCTTTAAATGCAGTGCCTGCCTGCTGCCAGGCCTGTTGAGCCATACGCCTCTCTACTCAAGTGCAGATGTTAAACGTTGGAACCCTCCAGAGCCCGGGATCAGACAGATCACCTGGTGGGAGGGAAGACGGGTATTTCTGGACATGGGGCCTGAAGGCCACGGTCTTGCTGCTGAGGCTCGGGGCCACCTAAGGATCGCTTGTTCTCCAGTAACGAGAATGCTGGGGTGGGTTACACCCAGGTGTCTAGGACCTGGTTGAAGAACTTGTTACAGGATTAGTATATTTATTACTTCTCAAAATATGGCTATTGGCTATGAAAAGTCCAGAAAGATGATCACTACATAAAAGTGGGCTATGTTGACAGTTTGTCTATTTTGAGCGCTTGACAAATGTTTATTGGCTGAAAAATGAATGAACTTTTAACTTAATTTTATTGGATCTCAGGTCTTATCTTTTTGTTTTTTTCCCCTATGCTACATGGAGGTTAATGGGCTAGTTGGCGCCATTATTCATCATTTGACCCTCTGGAAGTGTAACTAGGATAAGTGACTTATAAGTGCCAAACTGTGTGGTATAGACCATGAGTTCAGGCATTTAGGAGTAAGAGGTCAGTGGGTTGGACCAGTTGGGTAAGTTGTTAAAGGAGCTGGGGCTTGAACATAGACTCGCAGGGTAGTGAGAGTGTGAGGGGAGAAGGTGAGTAGGAGGGGCTTTTCAGAGGGGAGAACAGCGAGAGCAAAGGCCCAGACAGGGAGCAGGTGAACACAGAAGGCTGTTTAGGAATCCAGCTTGACTGCGGTGGAGAGCGGTGGCCACTTGCAAAGCTGGCCCACTCTCGGAATGATCTGTGGTCACCTCCCTGTTCTGGCCACTGGACTGCAAGCCCCCTGGGCCTCTCTCTGTCACTGCCTGTCTTCTGCCGTACCTAGTTTCTGAAGTCAGCTGTGGGCGACCCCTAAGGAATCGGGCTTCTGGGGATCGTTTCTAGTGGCTTCATCATTGGTGCTCACCCCCCTTCTGGAAACAGTGCATGCTGCCCTCAGGCCCCTAGCTTCCATGCCATCCTCGGGGGAAGCCTCCCTGCGTGGTTTTTGTGGGCCCAGGGGGTGCCAAGTCAAGGAGTTTGGGGCCAGTCTCTCTCTCTTCTCTGCTCCCCATGATTCTCTGCATTTTCTTTTCTCTGCCAGCCTCCTGGACTGCCATCGAGCATTGTCTCTTGAAGCTTGGGGAGATCCTGGCCAATCTCAGCAGCCCCCAGCTCCGGAGCCAGGCTGAGCAGTGTGGCACGCTCATTAGGAGGTACCTGCTCCCAGGGTGATCTGGTGAAGGGAGAGAGGAAAGGCCTGGGTATGGGGGGGAAGATGTGGCCTCTGGCCCTGACCCCTCTGCTCTCCCCTCCTCTCTGACTCTCCCTTACCGCCCGCACACTGTCCCCTCTGTGTCCCCTCAGCATCCCCACCATGCTGTCCGTGCACTCTGAGCAGCTGCACAAGACTGGCTTCCCCACGGTCCACGCGGTGGTCCTGCTTGAGGGCACCATGAACCTGACCGGCGAGACACAGCCCCTGGTGGAGCAGCTGATGATGGTGAAACGCATGCAGGTGGGAGGCCAGGGCTGCTTCTCTGTCCCCAGGGCGGGCCGGCTGTGCGGGGGCGGGAGGGAGGGTTCTTCTGGTCTTTCAGGGGAGAAATAGGGTTTCTCCTAATTCGTGGTGGAACGTGCATGGTTCTGTCAGGTGGAATGGTTCTGCCATGTCACCTGCTCTCCCTGGTTCTTGCACAGGAGTCGGGGAGGTGCCTGTGCTGCCCTCCTGTGACCCACTGACCCCCGGGGTCAGGAGACGGGAGGGGGGTGGGCGCCCTCTTATGCTCTCCCTTGGGTCTTCCCACAGCATATCCCCACCCCGCTCTTTGTCCTGGAGATCTGGAAAGCCTGCTTCGTGGGCCTCATCGAGTCTCCTGAGGGCACGGGGGAGCTCAAGTGGACAGCTTTCACCTTCCTCAAGGTACCCGGGACGTGGGAGCCACAGAGGGCCAGTCTCAGGATGGTTCCCAGGAAGAGCGGAGACACCCTGGGCCTTTGCCCCACATTTCTTCCCGCTGACTTCATGCCCAGCTTGCCAGGTCCCCCAGCACAAGTTGCCCTGATTTTCCCTGAAGGACCCAGGGCTGTTCAGCCTGCTTGGCAGGCTCTGCCATGTCTTGGCCCACAGGTGCTGGGAGCTTGGTCATCAGCCATGTTGGCACGGGGCAGCTCCGGGAGCCCACTTTCACTTAGAGCGTTTCCTTGTTGAGCCATGGAAGTGCGGGGCTCCTGGGCCCTGCGGGCTGAGGGCAGCGGGCGCGTGGCTAGACGTCAGCTTTCGCATTTGGCTCTTTGAGCACCTTCACTTCCAGGGCAGGAGTGTTCCTGTCTCAACCCAGAGCAGGGGGGCGGAAGGGATGCCTTTCGTTCTGGGTGAAAGAGAGAAGAAATTGAGCTGCCTGTTTTTCCCCCTGCCTCACCCTGTAGATTCCACAGGTTTTGGTGAAGTTGAAGAAATACTCCCATGGGGACAAGGTAAGTTAAAGAAATGAGATGGGGAGTTGGCATGGGAACAGGTGAATCCTTGTTACAGCTCTGGAGAAACAAGGGCAAGGGAAGGGTCACTTGGCCCTACCTGGGCGGTAGTGCGTTCTTGGGGAGGGCTGGAAGCGGGGGTATCCCCCGAGCATCCGCGGGCACCCATGCACAGAAGGCAGCCAGGCTGCTCCAGAGGCGAGGGTGCCCGGGATGACCAGGGCCGAGATGGCAGGGAGCAGTGATGCCCCATCCTGTCCCCGTCCAGTCGCTGGAAGCCAGCAGTGGGCACGGCCGACCTGTAGGCGGCTGTGCCCAGCGGGGTGTCATTGTGAGCCTGCCTCACGGGCCGTGGGTGGGCGGAGGACCTGGAAGCCAGAAGGCAGTTTCTGTCTCTTTGCAGGACTTCACCGAGGATGTCAATTCTGCTTTTGAGTTCCTGCTGAAGCTCACGCCCTTGCTGGACAAAGCCGACCAGCGCTGCAAGTATGAGGTCCCCTGCTCACCTCACTGTGCTGGAGGAGTCCTGGCTCTTCCCCTGCTCTTTGTGCCAGATAAGCACCGGGGACCGGCTCCTCGTTCCTCCTCTCGGCAGGGGCAGGAGGCAGCAGCCCCGTGGCTGCCGAGTGCCCAAGCCCCTCTGCCTCCCCTCAGGCACTCAAAATGTTCTTCACCCTAAAGGAGGGAGGATGTTGGGCAGGGCCTCACGGCTCGCCTTCCATAATCCCTGCAGTATGCCTAGGCCCCCCATCATCTTTTTCCCTCACAGCTGTGACTGTACAAATTTCCTACTCCAAGAATGTAGCAAGCAGGGGCTTCTGTCTGAAGCCAGTACGAACAACCTCATGGCCAAGCGGTAAGTATGAACTCCTGGGCTGGCCCATGGGCCCCTTGACCACCCGCCTCATGTCCAGACTGGGCTGCTGGGTGCCTTTTCTCTCCTGTCGAGGGTTTGAGTGTGGGTGATGGGAACCACACCTAGGGTTACCAGGGACAGGAGACACTGATTTCTGCAGACCAGGGTTTTGCACTGTTAGGGCTTTAACTCTCGCCCTCCTTTGTGATCGAAGTAGAAATTGTAAGACTTCCTTCAGTCTTAAATGAACTTTCAAAACAGATGTGATGACTAGAGACGATTTGAAGCAGTTGCGATACTGGACGCACTTTCATAGGCATCACCCGAGCCCGTGGTGCTTATGTGCTTCGCGCCTTCTCTGTGCCTCTGCTCCTGGGCCTGGACTAAGGAGCGTGTCAGGAATTCATCTCTGTTCCCTTACCTTCTCTTGTGGCCACAGCAAAGCAGACCGGGAGCACGCACCCCAGCTGAAATCAGATGAAAATGCCAACATCCAGCCCAACCCCGGGCTGATCCTCCGCGCGGAGCCCACCGTCACCAACATCCTCAAAGTGAGTGCGCTGTTCCCTTGCCACCAGGGGCATACCTTCCCTCTTTCCAGTTTCCCTCTTCTTCCAGATAAGTAAATAGGCCACGGACCTCTCTCTCTTCTGGTTACTTTGGAAGTAGAGAAAGGGGGAAGGTGAGGGAAGCGCCCCTGGAAACAAGTGTTTGTTGAGCTTCACTGGTCAGCCAGGCGCTGTGGTGGGTGTGGAAACAGCGCTGAATCGCACAGCAGAGACCTCGCCCATCCTGACTCCAGCGCCATCGTCCATCCCAGTTTAGTCGAGAGGAATGGATCGGAGAGCAAAGAACTTAAGGAACGGCTTTCCAGATTGGAGTCAGATGTCGATTAAATGGCAGGTCCTGGTATCCCATTTAATGGAGACATGCAGAGAGAGAAACTGTGGCTAGGCTGTACCTGGGGGGGTCTTCAGTGTTCTTCAGGACTTGGTTTCCTGTCTTGTCCCCAGACGATGGATGCAGACCACTCCAAGTCCCCGGAGGGGCTGCTGGGGGTCCTGGGCCACATGCTGTCTGGGAAGAGCCTGGACTTGCTGCTGGCTGCTGCTGCGGCCACTGGGAAGCTTAAGTCCTTTGCCCGGAAATTCATCAAGTAAGGAAGCCTGAGCCCCTGACCAGGGTCTGGGAGGCACGTGTGAAGGAGGAGGTGGGAACTTCCCTGGTGGCCCGGTGGCTAAGACTCTGTGCTCCCAATGCAGGCGGCCCGGGTTCGATCCCTTGTCAGGGAACTAGATCCCACATGCCGCAACTAAGAGTTCACATGCCGCAACTGAAAGATCCCACGTGCTGCAGTGAAGATCCCGTGTGCCGCGACTAAGACCCGGCACAGCCAAATATAAATAAATAAATATTAAAAAGAAAGAAAGCAAAAAACAAAGGAGGAGGTGGCAGAATAAGGGCAAGGCACTGGGGTCTGAGTCTCCCCAGAGATGCCAAGGCAAAGCATCCCAGCTGGAGACCCGGGGGAAGGGCCCGTTCTCTGGACATGAAGTGCTGTTTTCTCTTCAGCTGAGGATGGAGTGCAGGTGTTTGGCAAGGTGACGAGGTGTTGGATAGCAGGTGTGGAGGGATAGTGTTCATACCCACTTATTAATAAGGGACTCTCAAATTCTGCTGACTTTTTGGATTGACCTGGAATTTGATGTGTAGAATGTTGTTCCATTCAGCGAACCATTCTCTAGGCCTTGGAAATCTTTTAAAAATAGAAAGAGTTCTTGTTTCTGTAGCAATGGTGTTCCTTTTAAGTTGAACCCATAATTCAGACTCTAGTGACCGCCTCTCTGAGTGGGCAGAGCCCCTGACCCCAGCCGCTGCCCAGCCCTTGCCCTGGTTGATGCAACCTGTCTCCATTCCTTCTGCAGTTTGAATGAATTCACGACACACCGCAGCGAAGAAAGCAGTAAGTCAGCTCCACACACCCCCAGGCCCAGTGGTGCTGAAGGAGGGGTGTGGAGGGAGAGAACAGGGGAGGGAAGAGGACACTTTTGCTCATCCTGGGGAGGCTGTGTTCTCCCCTAGGAATGACTGACTGAAGCTTTTGGGGAGCCGTGAAAGAGGGTCATGCTGGGAAAAGCATTCTTCCCAAACCACCCTTTGCCTCTCTCCATCCCCCCTTGCGATTTGGTCAGGTGTTGGGGGAAAGGAGGGTTCAGGAGTCTTTGGTTCCAAGGAAGGGATGATGTTCCAACTGAGACTCAAGAAAAGGATTCTGAGCCTCAGAGCTTTGAAGGAGCCACTCGGTCCCTGACCTTCCTTGAGGCAGATCTTGAGCCCCTCCCGACCCAGACAAGGCCTTTGGGCCCCTGCCCTAGGCTGGGGGTCAGCCTTTTCATCCTCCACAGCCAAGGCGGCCTCAGTTCGAGCCTTGCTCTTTGACATCTCCTTTCTCATGCTGTGCCACGTGGCCCAGACCTATGGCTCAGAGGTGAGTGACGGGGAGCAGTCAGGCTTGGGGCACTTGGGACAAAGGGAAAGGTAAAAACCAATAAGTCTCCCCACCTCACACCCCTACCCCACCCCCGTCAATGTCCCAAGCCAGTTAGTTCTCCTGGCTGCAGAAATCAGATGCCCCCGCCCCAAGTCAATAGATGCCCCCTTGTCATGTCCTGAATCCTTCAGTTCCACACCCACCACTAGGTGGCAGCATAGCCCCTGTCTTTCCCCCTCAGACCAATTTGTCCCCAGTTCTTCAGGCTGGGAGCGGGGAAGCCACTGGGCAGGAAGAGAGGTGCGGGGTGCTGCACCTCCCCACCCCCTCCTTTCTCAGGTGATCCTGTCCGAGTCAAACACGGGAGGAGAGGTGTTCTTCTTTGAGACCTGGATGCAGACCTGCATGCCCGAGGAGGGAAAAATCCTGAACCCTGACCACCCCTGCTTCCGGCCCGACTCCACCAAAGTGGAGTCCCTGGTGGCTCTGCTCAACAATTCCTCGGAGATAAAGCTGGTGTCAGTGGCCTGGGCACCCACTCCAAGGGTGGTAGTGCGGGTAGGGCCCAGACCCTCTCCCTCAGCCCATCCCACGCCCCCCAGTGGTGATTTTTCTCCCATTCCCACCCTCTCGTAGGCAGATGAAGTGGCATGAAGCCTGTCTCAACATTTCGGCGGCCATCTTGGAAATCCTCAATGCCTGGGAGAATGGGGTGCTGGCCTTTGAGTCCATCCAGGTAGCCCCACCTTTCCAGCGGCCTTCTCTCTTCCCTGAGACACAGAGGCAGTCTTCGATAGCTTGTTAGATTTCGTAAGAACGAAAAGGCCCTTAATCCAGGAGCCTGTGTGTGGCTCTTGATCTTTCTTGTGGTCATAGTGTTAGCTGCTCTGTCCCCAGCAGGGAACTTGGGGAAAATCAGGCCTGTGGTGAAAAGAGGCATGGAACACGGCCCTGGATCCCACTGACGCGCTGAGCTGCCCACGGAGGCCGGGGCAGGTGGTGGCCAGGGAAGGGGAGAGGGTGGCCCCATCACCCTTCCCCCCTCCCCCCCCAGAAAATCACCGATAACATCAAGGGGAAGGTGTGCAGCCTGGCAGTGTGTGCTGTGGCCTGGCTTGTGGCCCACGTGCGGATGCTGGGGCTGGACGAGCGTGAGAAGTCGCTGCAGATGATCCGCCAGCTGGCAGGGCCGCTGTACAGCGAGAACACCCTGCAGTTCTACAACGAGAGGTCAGCGGCCCATCCCCTCCCTTCTGGAACTCTGCAGGTCTGTCCTGAGAAGCCAGCGCCTCTGGAAACCACTCTCTTCCTCTTCTCTTACCTTCCCAAACATGCAGCTCACCTGCTCAATCTCTTCCTCACTCACTCACGTTCTCAATCACGTCTTCACTCACTGACTCAGCAACACTTAGTGTGTGTCTCTGTGCCGGGAGTGTTATTACCCAGCACCCGCTGTGTGTGCGCCGGAACTACAGACCCCACGTGGCTATGATTCCTGCCCTTGAAGGGCTCGAGTCCTGGGGAGCTGGCTTGCCAGAACGGAATGGTTATCTTAGCTCTGTCACTCTTAAGGAACTGTGAGCCCATCTGTAGATCTTATAGGCCTTGGGCCTGTCCACCCCCTCCCTACCCTGCCCCTCCAGGCCCAGCTATCTTCTGTACCATTTTCCTGCCTGGGCTTTTCAGGGGCTTGGAGGACCTCCCTAGCGACTTCAGCTGTGTTGAGTTCAGTGGTGTTTGTTCATTTGCCCATCCAATAAGCTTTTTAAAAAAAATATGGTAAAAAATACATAACATAAAGTTTACCACCTTAACCATTTTTTAAGGGCACAGTTCAGTAGTGTGTTAAGTATATTCACACTGTTGTGAAACAGATATCCAGAACTTTTTCATCTTGTAAATCTGAACCTGGACCCGTTAAACAACACCCCTTCCCCCAGCCCCTGGCAACCACCGTCCTACTTTCTGTTTCTCTGAATTTGATTTCTTTCGGTACCCCATGTAAGTGGAGTCACGTAGTGTTTGTCTTTTTGTGGCGGGCATATCTCATTTTGTGTAATGTCCCCAAGGTTCAACCATGTCATTGCATGTGTCAGGATTTCCTTCCTTTTTAAGGCTGGATCGTATGTATATACCACATTTTGCTTATCCATCCCTTGGTTGATGGACACGTGGGTTTCTTTCACTTCTCGGCTTTTGTGAATAGTGCTGCTGTGAACGTGGGCATGCGCCAAGCAATGAGTTATGAGCGATGACCCACAAGGTAGCCATCAGGATGTCTTTTAAGAGAAGTGGAAACACTGAGCTGAAATGAGGTTGGGAGGATCTGTAAAATCCCGTCTCCTCTTTATTCCTCCCCTCCCTCAGCGTCCTCCCCGCAAAAGTCATGGACTGTTTTCTGTGACGTAATCCATTCTAAGCACCCTGACTCCTGTCTGGGAAATCTGTGGCTCGATCATGCAGGTGGAAATAGTGGCCGTGAAAGTCATGGTGACTTTCCCAGAGCCACCCAGTGTTCCCCGAAGGGTTAGCGCTCAGGCCCAGGCCTGCATTCCTTGTCGAAGACTCTTCATGAGAAAATTCCTGGATATACATTTATATTTGCCCAGCTACCAACGGCCGGGAAAAGTCTTGTGGGGCAGTCCTTGGGCCCTTGTCCTGGAAGTAACAGCTACTTTGGGAGGAGGCCAAGGCTGGGTGGGGAACCCCCGCAAGCACTCAGCCTAGAGGGAAGTGATTGTATTTATTTATGCCAGAGGATTGTCAGGGCCCAGGCCTGGGGGATGGAGGAAGTTGGAGAGAGAGAGTGAGAGAAAGTATGAATGAATATATTGCTAGAATGACCTGGGGGAGGCAAGTGCCCCGGCCCCCCATAGGCTGGTGCCGGAGCAGGACTCGTGGGGTCAGGTCTCCTAGGGGTTTGCAACTTCCCCTTGTCTCCTCCCTCAGCATAGAATGGGGTTAATTCCGTAACCCGAGTCCTGGGAAGGGTCGGGCCTGCCTGTTCCTGCCCCCACCCCAGCTATTGAACCTGCTGCTGCCTGAACCATAGACCCTCCCGCCTCCCTCCCTCCATCAGGGTGGTGATCATGAGCTCCATCCTGGAGCATATGTGTGCGGACGTGCTGCAGCAGACGGCCACACAGATCAAGTTCCCATCCACGGGCATGGACACCATGCCCTACTGGAACCTGCTGCCCCCCAAGCGACCCATCAAGGAGGTGCTGACGGACATATTTGCTAAGGTGCTGGAGAAGGGATGGGTGGACAGTCGCTCCATCCACATCTTTGACACCCTGCTGCACATGGGAGGCGTCTACTGGTTCTGCAACAACCTGATTAAGGTACTGGGGTCGGGGGTGGGGGTGGGCTGGGGGGAACAGGCGTCCTCAGACCGCCGGAGACAGCTGGGAAAACGCCTGACGGGACCAAGCGTGGTCTGGTCCTCTGGCTTCTCAACCCCCAGCCCAGTCGGCCGGGCTTCTCTGTGAGGCCCACTGAATGCAGAGAAGATTCCTTGGACTCCAGAGGCCGGTCCTCGCCTCGGGAGCTCCTGGGGTCTGAAGGGAGTTGCAGGACGTCACTGCCCACGTTGAGGGCCCTCAGCTCCTCGGTCCTCCTCTGCCCCGTCCTTCCAGGAGCTGTTGAAGGAGACGCGGAAGGAGCACACGCTGCGGGCGGTGGAGCTGCTCTACTCCATCTTCTGTCTGGACATGCAGCAAGTGACCCTGGTCCTGCTGGGCCACATCCTGCCTGGTCTGCTCACCGACTCCTCCAAGTGGCACAGCCTCATGGACCCCCCTGGCACCGCTCTCGCCAAGTAGGATTTTGTGGAGAGCCTTAAGTCCCCCCAGCCTGGAGTGGGGCACCCTGCCTGGGCCACCCAGGAAGCTGGGCTGTGGGGAAGCCCTGTCGGGTGGGGCCTGATCAGCATGGGCACAGAAACCGCGTCGGGGCCTCTTTGATTTTACCCCCTTTTCCTGGACCCCTTTGCCAGGCTGGCTGTCTGGTGTGCCCTGAGTTCCTACTCTTCCCACAAGGGGCAGGCGTCCTCCCGCCAAAAGAAGAGACAGCGCGAAGACATCGAGGTAGGGTAGGGGCCCCTTCCCCCGTTCATTGCCCTTGTGCTTGTTCAGCAGATGCTCACTGAGCCTCTTCTGGTAAGAGGCGCCTTCCCGGGCACAGGCAGCCAGGCATGGTCCCTGCCTCTGGGCCACTGTGTCAGGGGTGACTGTGTGGGAGGGTCTCTCCCTAGGGTAGTGGGAGAGGCGAGGAGAGGGAAGCTGACCCCCTGGAGATGCTGCCTGCGGCCTATGGGGGCTTGACTCCAAACTGAGCTCCAGTCCTGGAAGATCTGGGGATGCAGCTGTGGGTGACAGTGGCTCTCCTGCCCCCCAGGATTACATCAGCCTCTTCCCCTTGGATGACATGCAGCCCTCGAAGCTGATGCGACTGCTGAGCTCCAATGAGGAAGATGCAAATATCCTTTCGAGTCCCAGTGAGTGTGTGGACGGGCCGGGCGGGCTGTTGCCTTTCCCGGGAACTCACTCCTCCTGAGAGCTGCTCTGCAGCTCGCTGGCTGGTCGGAGAGGCTGTGGTAGGAGTCTGCCCCGTTCTGTCCCCTACGGATGCTCTGCTTCCTCTCCTCGAGCCACCAAAGCTTGCTGTGGATCACTCCCTAAGGGCTGAAGCTCTTCTGCCCAGATCCCATCCCAGCCCGGGGTGCATAGTTGACCCTTCCCCACGCCTCACGGCAGTGACTTCACTGCCTTGGGCACAGTCTGTGCCACTGACTCACAGCTCTGACCTTCCTTCCCCTGAAGCAGGCCCTGAGACCTGGAGCAGGCCTGGGCTGGTACTTGGGACTGCTCCCCACTCTTCCTGCCTGGAGAGCACCCCAACTCCACCTGCTTCCCTAGATGTCATCGCCTCTCCTTGCTAAGGGCTCTTCCGTGGCGTTTAATTTTTCCTGTTTCCAGAGATTTCTCCTGAGCCTAGAAGTTTCTCTGAGGTCTTTTAGGGACTAGGGGACCAATTGTGCACTTGAACAGAGGAAAGCTGCCATGGCCTTTGGCTAGTTACTTAGCAAATCTCAGCCTCAGCTTCCTCGTCTGTAAAACGGAGACGTGAGGATTAGCGGTTTCAGCCGTACGCAGCCCGCAGATTGGCACCTGGCGGTGACCAGATGGTAGTTCTCTCTCACCTGCTTGTGGGGAAGCCTGTATTTGGGGACCGTGTGACTGGACCCAATCATCTTCTCCGGCCGGGCCCTCCACCCCCGACAGGCGAGGGCTCCCGTGGGCGGCGGTTCGGAACTCAGGAGGCCATTGGCTCAGTGCCCCTCGCTTGCCCCCCAGCGGACCGGTCCATGAGCAGCAACCTGTCAGCCTCCCAGCTTCACACGGTCAACATGAGAGACCCGCTGAACCGAGTCCTGGGTGAGGCCTCCCAGCCCCGCTCCCCACCCTCCTCCCCTTTGCCCTCCGTCCCCCCTGATTGCCAGCTCTCCTGTCTCCCCCAGGCCCCCGTCGCGTCCCTCTCTGGCTCGCCCCCAGCTTTCCTTTGTACTTTCTCTTTTTGACGTCCCCATTTGGGGGGACACCCTTAGCACTTCTTTCTTCTCCCAGAATCTGACCTCTTCCCAAACCCTTCTCATGGAGTTCTCCTTCCCCCCGCCACCCTTTCCTCACAGCCAACCTGTTCCTGCTCATCTCCTCCATCCTGGGCTCTCGGACCGCCGGCCCCCACACGCAGTTTGCGCAGTGGTTCATGGAGGGCTGCGTGGACTGCCTGGAACAGGGCGGCCGAGGCAGCATCCTGCAGTTCATGCCCTTTACCACCGTGAGTGCCGCGCCCCCGGGCCACTGGCTCACCCTCCAGCTCAGAGCGGGTCAGCACGTCGCAGGAGAGCTTGGGGTCCGGCGGCCAGGAGGGAGGGCTCCTTCCTCCTGGACGTCACACCCACCATCACCTTGCTGAGCAGCTGTCTGTCTGTCTGACAGGTATCGGAACTGGTGAAGGTGTCAGCCATGTCCAGCCCCAAGGTGGTTCTGGCCATCACGGACCTCAGCCTGCCCCTGGGCCGCCAGGTGGCCGCCAAAGCCATTGCCGCCCTCTGAGGGGCTTGGAGTGGCCACAGGGGCTGGCAGGCAGGGTCCCAGCCCCGGGCGCCTCAGAAAAGGACGTGTGGAAAGATGAGACATCATTGCTCATATCCACATGATGTAACTGCCCTCCGTCGGTCTCCAGATCTTTCCCCTGCTCCTGACTTCTGACCTCTAAGACGGCTCCCAGTTTCTTTCATAATTTCCTTTCCCACTGCCAGCACCTGATGCGTGTGAGCAGCCTGGTTCCTTGACTCCGGGCGGTCTCACTGCAGCCCTCCCGCCCGACCCCTGTGCGTACCTCCCGCTTCCAAGAGTGGATTTACCTCCGGGGAACTTTACAGGTGCAGGGTATGTGTGTATATATGTGTGTGTGTGTATATATATATATATTATCTCTTTTTACATGGGTGTGTTCACCTCGGCTGGCTTGTAAGTAAAGACCTCGTGGATCCCTCTGTGCCTGTTGGTACTGTTGGTGCCTGTGTCCGATGCGGGTGGGGAACGGCTGGCTCCGCCTCGGACCCGTGCAGGCCCAGCTGGAGGAAGCAGGAGGGCGCAGAGGAGGGCTGGGCTCAGGGTCCCTGTTTGTGCGCTCAGTAGGGGCGGGGCAGGGCAGCGAGAGCAGCTTGCCTTCCTCATTCCCGCCTGCCACTTCCCCCCACCTCGCAAAGTCAGACTTACTCTGAAAAGGGAGAGGTTTTGGCTAAAGGCCCCGCTGGTGCTGGGGTAGGGTGTCCTGTTCTGATGTTCCCCAGCCCGGCCAAGCCCCACCCAGAGTCTGACTGGCCCGGAGTTGGATCTTTCCTCTCCAGTAAGGACTTGGGGGTATGAGGGGTGAGGGCCTGGGGCATGAGGGGGGATGGAGGCAGGAACTCTGTTTAACCCTTCTTTGCCTGGTCGTCTCCAAGCCCCGGTTCTTCAGGACCAACTAGAGAGGGGGGACCCTGAGCCGTGCAGCTGGGGGTTCTAGCCCCACTCAGCCCGACCCTGCTTCTAAGGAACCAGATGGGGAAGGGAAGTGGGAAGTGACTCAGGAGCTGAGGATGGGGAAGTCTTGGGAGGGGACCTGGGGACTGGTTGGCCGTCTGGACGTCCTTGGTCTGGTGGTGGTAGCCTGGAAGCATACGTGCGTCTTCAGCTGAGAGCACAGAGAGCTTTGTCTTGAATCTGAGCTGTGAAGCGGCCCCTCCGGTCTCCCCAGGTGTGAGCTCAGGCCTCTTCAGCCCATTAGCCCCGAGACAGGTAGGAAGGCTGCGGGCTCCCCGCCAGATCAGAGGCAGTGCTTGACGAGGGACAGAGGTGCAGAGCCTGGAATGTGGGGTCCAACCCAAGCTGTCACCTTGACCTCAGCTTCCTAATCTGTAAAAGGCCCTTCATAATTCTGTCTTTGTGGGCGGCTGTGAGCATGGATGGGTGAAGGTTTATGGAAGGTGGTAAACTGAAGCCCTGTGCACATGTTAAATCCTCCCTCGCTTCGGGCCCGTGTCCATCTGTCTGGACTGTTGAGCCCCCCAGTCCCCCTCTCCCAACCCTACTCTCTCCTCCCCCGGTACGGGTGACCCCTCTACCTTCTGTCCTCCCTGCTAGGCGGTGGCTCCACGGGGCCAGGGACCACGCCTGCCTCGTTCACTGCCGTGTCCTAGCACCCGGCCCAGTGTCTGCACCCAGTGGGTGCACCTCCTCTTCCCCTCCTTCGGGCCTCACCCTCCATTCAACTCCCTGCCCGCGACCCCTGGCCAGGCACCAGCTGGACTCAAGAAGGAGGAAGGACATTTACTGGAGACAAACACTTTATTATCGTGAAGTTTGGCTACAATGAGAAAGTGGGCGCCGAGGGGGAAGGTGAACAGTCGAGCGTCCCTCTCACACCCCGTCACACGAGCCCCCTCATCTTTTCCCTCCCACATTCCCAGCCCCACCCAGCAAGGCAGAGACACGACTGCCCAGCCTGAAAAGGAGTCAGAATCCCGACCCTGACCCCGGCGGGGTGGGGCAGGCGCCGCTAGACGGATGGTGTCTATAGCGCATCCAGAAAAACGAGGCGTCGCTGATGGTCGCCTGGGCTCCCCACACAAGGAGTCAAAACGTGCCCGAAAAAAATCTTAAAACGATTCCCCAGCGAATTCGCGGGACCCCAGGGTCAAGCGTCCCGGCTTCGGCTGCCTCTGATGGGCTCCGTGCCCGAGGCAAAGGGGACTCGAGGGAAGCAGCCAAGTCAGGCAGAGCCAGGGGTGCAAGGACCCAGTTGGGGAACACTGCTGTTTAAATATTAAACAGGGCTGTCTCATCTCCCACGTGGGAGACTTCCCGATGATTCCAAGGGCCCCGAGGTAGGCACCCTCAGGGTAGGGGTTCGCTGTGGCTCTCCCCAGAGCCCACCACGGAGCCAGGCAGGGAGGAGTCACGGGAAGTAATACTTGGTATTTACCAACTCCCTCCCAGTCCAGGGGACGGGAAGACGGGAGTTTTTCTCCCTGCTACAGGCGGGAGAATGAAACTTGGAGGTGGAGGGAAGGATCCAGGAGTCCGGGGCTCCTTTCTGTCTTCCCCGTCTTTAAATATTAGGTTTAAATAAGCATAAATATTAAATAGAGATAAATACACTGGATGGGGAGGGCTTTGCTCAGGGCTCGGCCAGGTAGCGCAGGACACGGTACGCGAGCTCCAGGAAGCTCTGCAGCTTGGAAGCAACCAGGACCCCTCCTGCCCGGCGCTGGAAAGCTGAGGTGAAGGTCGGCATGGGGCCCTGGGTGGGCTGCACGGCAGGGGCCACCCCCAGGTCTTCCATCTGTGGGGGAAGGTGAGGTCAGCAATCAGGCCGTGCTGAGTGGGTAGTTAGCACGGGGAGGAAAGGCGAAGGGCTGATGGGCTGTAGACGATCCAGGGTTCATGGTGGAGCCAGGACCGAACCCAGGTCTCTTTAAGGTCCAGTGGCCCCGCCTCATGCCCTCAACTAGGGGGGATGGGGTAGGGTCCTGGGATGAGGTGGTAGCTCCCTACATCCAGCCCACCGAGAATGTTTCTGCCCCAGCCCTAGAGAACTCCGGGGTCCCCAGGCTGGCAGCACCACCTTTGAGGACCAGCTCGGTCCGGGGCCCTAACGCTTGCTGCTCCGGAAGAGACTCACCTGCAGCCAGATGTTGGTGGCAAAGTCGGTGACGTCCAGCTGCAGTATGTCCAAGGTGGGGGCCAACTCTGGGGAGATCCCCGCCAGGGCCTGCAGGAGGCCCTGGTAGAGGAAGAGGCCGCCGTGCAGTTGGCTCAGGCAGGCTGTCTGGGAGATGGGATAGGAAAGTCAGGGGACGCTGCCTGGGCTGCTCCCCTCAGGGGCCCAGCATGGAGCCTGGAGGACTGGGGAGCCTTCCAGGTCATCCTTTCCCGCCTGTCCCCTCATCTCCCTTCTCCCCTCCGGACACTCACCAGCTGCAGGGTCTGGCTGGAGCAGCTACTCAGGGAAGCCTGGGGGATGCCCAGAGAGTGCCCAAGCAGCACCAGCTCCTCAGGGTGGCACAGCTTGTGGGTGGTGCACTGGGGATGGGAAGGATGCTGAGTGAGGGGGACTGGCAGAGCCGGGCGGCTCCTCCTTCCCGAGTGCCCCCATCTCTCCACATCCACATCTTCCCTCCCTCCACGTCCCGCCAGGCTTCTCAGCCCTGTTCCTCCGTCCAAGCCCCCAGCCAGCCCCTCCCAGCACTGTCCCCAAGAGGTTCTTCCCCCAGTTCCCCACCAGCCGCTGGGGCTCTGCCTCTCCTAATTTCCTCCCATTTCCCCTGAGTCTCTCCTCTCCCATCCCATGTCCCTTCCCCATGGTTCCCTTTGCTTCCCTCCGCTTCTCTGTCTCCCCTCAGCTCTGCCTTGCACACCTTCTTTCCTCCCTGCCCGCTGCTGCAGTATCTCTGTCCCCTCCCTGTCCCTCCGCAGGCTGCCCTCACTCACCAGCCTCTCCTGCAGCTCAGCGCCATCAGCCTGGATTTTCCTCACTTGCTCTAAGCACTTAAGCAGGAAGCTCTGGGGCAGGGAGCTGGCAGGGCCGAGGGGTGTGGCTTCTTGCACCGTCAAGAGTGCGCTGTGCCAGAGCAGCAGCTGCAGGGCTGGGAGCAGACGGGGGCTCAGGAGACGTGCATACCTCTCTGGGAGCCCAGGGACCCTGCCCTCTGCCACTCCGGGCCCCGCAGCTCTCCCCTCCTGGGGCCCGGACACTCACCCATCAGCTTCATGGGGCTCTGGGCAGCAGGTTCAGCCGGGGGTCTGGATGGGTCTGTAGGTTCTGGGTTCTGTCAGGGACCAGGTCCAGGGGCCTTTATACACAAGCCCATGGAGGCCTGGGAGGAAATTACCTGGTGCTGCGACTAAGGCTTAGTAATAACTTCCCAAGATTTATGCAAATTTGGTGTCCAGGACAATGCAGGGGGGTTGGGACAAAAAAAAGTGTTTGCGAAAGTTTTGTGAAATTGTGGAATCTCTGATTCTTCTTTGACGTCTTGCCCCCCTCAAACTCCCTTCCTCCCCTCAGCCCCACCCAGGTCTGAATTGCCCCAGAGTGTTTGAACTGAACCGCTGAACCAAAGCTGAGCCAATGATAAAAGCCAGGGAGGCTGGAGTCAGGTCGACCCCGGGGAAGAGGCAGGCCTAGGCCTTGGGGCCCTCCCTCCCACCCTCCCCTGGCACATCTCCTGGGTCAGCCCCATTTGCCACTCTCCCTTGGGATTCTCAAGCCACCTGCTCCCTAGGCCCCCAATTCTGAGAAGGAAGAAACCAGTTGCCCTATTTCTATCCCCCCCAATTCCCAGAGACTGCCTCTCTGAGTGCCCTCTTGAGGGGCCAGGGGCCTGAGATAGGAACACTGGGGTCTTGCCTCCTGTCCCCACCGCACATGTTGAGAGGCATCACCCTGGTTCCTGTCCCGAACTGATTAGCTGGGAACTCCCCAATCCCCCCCATGACTCATTCCTTTAAGCCCCCGGAATCCTGGCAGAGACCAGAGGAAACCGGATGTCTGTCCCGAATGAAGCAAGACCCATTGAGGCTCTCGGTTCAGGTTCACCTGACCTTGCCCTTCCTCCTCCCCACACCCCACCCCAACCCGCCCGCACTACCCCTCCCCCCTAGTGTCGCAGTGCTTTGGAGTTGAGGGTCTGGGACAGGTGGCTTCCCTGGCCAGGTTCACTGCCAGCGGGCATGTGTGTGCTGCCCTGAGTGGAGAAGCGCTAGGGTGAGCAAAAAGAAACCACCCGGCTTCAAACCCGAGAACCACGTACTCTTAGCGCTGGAAGGGACTTTGGAGTCTGTTCCAACCCTGTGAACTGGGCCAGTGAGGGAAGAGGCTTGCCCAAGGTCATGGGTAGCAGAGTCAGAGTTATAATCCAGACCTCTGCCTTGGGCCTGAGAGTTTTCCACAGGCCATGGGGCCTGCCTGGGGAAGTCTGACCAACTGCACGCAAGACTGTCATGTTCTGTCCCAACAGAACGTTGTTCTACCCCAGGACGGGCCAGAACAGAGTCTCTTCGGATGAGGAGTGGGTGTGTCTGACTGGGCCAGGCCATCTCTGGGGCGGGGGTGCCCCCTGGTGGCCACAGCTGGCAGGGCCTTCACCTGCTAATCAATTCACGTCCTGCCTCTGGTCCCTGGTCCTGCCGGGCAGCCCTGGCCCCCAGCTCCACCTTAGGCCAGGCAACTGGCCACCATGCCCCTATTAAGCCCAGTTCTGCGCCCACCTCCATGGGAGGAGAGGGGTGGGTTTAACAGAACTGTGGCGGGATGGCAGAGGTTCTCACAAAACATGCCTCCTCTCCTTCCCACTAAGAACCTCCGGAGGACCCAGCCCGCCCCAGATGTTGTGCAGAGCATGCCCTGTACATTGGCAAATGCACTGCTTTCAATAAGCCTATGAGGAATGTATCAGAACCATTTCCCCTTTTACAGAAGATGAATCTGACCTTGGAGAGGTTGACTTGCCCAAAACTAGCAGAGCCAAGGTCTGCACTGTGCCAGTCTTAAACTCTTAACCATTGAATCTCTTTCATTCATTCATTAATTATATAAAATTTATTTATTTATTTGGCTGCGTCGGGTCTTAGTTGTGGCACGCGAGATCTTCCTTGTGGCATGCAGGGTATTTCGGTGCGGTGTGCAGGCTCTAGAGGGACAGGGCTGAGTTGCCCCACAGCATGTAGGATCTTAGTTCCCTGACCAGGGATCAAACCCCCGTCCCCTGCATTGGAAGGCGGATTCTTAACCACTGGACCACCAGGGAAGTGCCCACCATTGAATCTCTTGACCAATGTTTGGCCTTCCTCAACCATAACCAGGCCAGCTCTAGACCCAAACTTTAATTTTCACTTACAGTCCAAGTGTGTCAGAGGTTTGGCTCAGAAAATGCTACTTCTAACAAGGTGGCCAGCATGGTGAAAGGACTTGCGATGATGATTTGAAGAAAACACACCATTTTGTCTGGTCAAGAGGAGAGGTTGTTGTGTGGTCTCAAGGGCTAGAAGTGGGCAGGGAGTGGAAGCCCAGCTAGCCAGCTTTCAGCTCAAGGAAAGAGCTTTCTAACTGCCAGAGGTGCTGGAGGATGGAGTGGGCTACTTCCAGAGGAAGTGAACTGCCTGACCAGGGAGGTGTTCTGGCCTCCATTCCATAGAGGGAAAATCCGAATGTTGGCTGGCAGTTACCGGACACCTCTTATATGCCAGGCACCTTCCATTACACTTTTGTCTTTCATCCTATCAACCAAGTGTGGACTATTCCCATTAGAGACAAGGGACAGCCTCAGAGAACCGAAAGGCCCAAGATCACAGAACAAGTCGGGGGCAGAGCGAGGCAGGATCTGTGATCAGCCTTCCCAAGCCCCCGTCATTCCTATTACACTATCTTCCTGTTCAGAGAGCTGTATGTACTTCTTGGATGATGGCTCAATCCAGATCTCAGCCCCACCCATGGGAGAATAAAGACCAGGCAGAGGGAAAGCCCGGTTACCAGTTCTGACACATGCGGGCTGAGCCAGACTGAAATGATCTGGCAAAGGTCCTGGCTCCAGAGACCCCCCACTAGCTGTTATTCATCCTTCCAGCTTCCTAAAGGCTTTCCCAGTTATTTCTCAATGGCCAGAGTGGGTGAGTGGCTTCCACTCACACTTCCTGTTTTCATCTGGAACTGGGCTTGGAGTGTCCTTATGAAGGCTCCGGCGTAATGCCTTTGTTGCAGACTTGGCCTGTGGGCCAAGATACGTACACCCTAAGTTAAGAATCGGTTTTACATGTTTTAAGTGGTTGGAAAAAAATCAAAAGATTTTTTTTCTTTGGCTGCATTGCGCAGCATGCGAGATCTTAGTTCCCTGACCAGGGACCTCGCCCCCTGCAGTGGAAGCACAGTCTTAACCACTAGATTGCCAGGGAAGTCCCAAAAGAATATTTTATCACAGGTAAAAATCATGAAAAGCCAGTGTTCATAAATAATTTGTTTACATATTGTTTAGGTAAGGCCCCTCTCAAGAAGGGCAGAAGTGAGTAGTTGTGAAAGAGCACATGGCTCACAAGCCTAAAAAACGTACCATCTGGACCTTTAAGAAAAGTTCGCAAACTAGTACACAGGACATATGTACAAGGGGACATACAGAAATGTCCTCTGCAGTGTTGTTTGTAACAGTAAACCAGTGGCCACCAATAAATTAATGAACAAATAAACTGTGGCACATTCATACCACATGTGCCTCTCCATCCTTCCACAATAGAAAACCCACGACGAAAGCAGTTTGTTTCATTCAGTTCTTTTCTTAGTCCCTAGAACAGTGCTGGGCACGGGTTTAAACATGATTAGATCTCAAAACCCATACTGAGTAAAAGGAACTTACTTTCATGTGATACATCATTAACAAAGATTTAAAAACTCAAGACAATACTATATTTTGTAGTAAAACTATAAAAACATAAACTGGAAGGATACCCACTGAATTCATCAGAGTGGCTGCCTTTAGGGAAGGAGGGAGGAGACCTGGGGAAGGAAGATGGGCTTTTAACTTATCTGTCATGTTTTATCTTGCATGAAAAAACTTGACATGATAACAAAAGGTTGACATTTATTAAAATTGGGTGGAAAGTACATGGGTATTTCTTATGTTATTCTTTGTACTTCTCTGTAGTTTTCTAATTAAAAAACAAAACTGGAAGGTAGAGAACACAGTGAACTCTCCAAGCATAAAAATAACACTGAACTTCTCCAGGAAAAGAAAGCTAAGCCAGTGGCGATGAATTATAAGAAACTTCCAGACTGTGAGCAGACAGAAGAATGGTCTATAGACTCAAGGTGGTTGAGAACCAGGAAATCATGACAAATGACCCCAACTCTGTGTAACAGGATGATAGACTCTCCAATCCATTACCAACCAGGAAAGGGTATGGGGCACTTTGGGCTGGGTGCTGACTTTAAGATTTGTCATTGGGAATAACAGTAATTATAACTAATTATCACACACTCAAAAAGAAAGTCATTTTAGAGGTCAGGTAAAGTGGTCATGGGCCAGAAGGACAGCCATGTGGGGACAAAAACCAACCAACCAACCAGATAACAGAGCCACAGACTGAGGCTGGGAGAAGGCTGCACAGCCTACAGAACGTGACCTGAACTTGGTATCACGTAGGCCAGTGTTCAAGTCCCACCTAAGCCTGTCCTCACGAGCCTGGAAGGGGCACAGAGGGGTGCTCACTGTTAGTCCCCATCCTTCCTGGAAGGGAATTAAAGATCTCCTATTAGGGGCTTCCCTGGTGGTGCACTGGTTGAGAATCTGCCTGCCAACGGAGGGGACACGGGTTCGAGTCCTGGTCTGGGAAGATCCCACATGCCGCGGAGCAACTAGGCCCGTGAGCCACAACTACTGAGCCTGTGCATCTGGAGCCTGTGCTCCGCAACAAGAGAGGCCGCGATAGTGAGAGGCCCGCGCACCGCGATGAAGAGTGGCCCCCGCTTGCCACAACTAGAGAAAGCCCTCGCACAGAAACGAAGACCCAACACAGTCAAAAATAAATTAATTAATTAATTTAAAAAAAGATCTCCTATCAGATTTTCGAATTGGCCTGTAAAATGGGGAAAAGGTTGAATCCTTTAAAAAAAAATAATGGAAAGTTTGGATGCTGGAATAATAACATCTTCCACAAAGATCAAGGGGGGAGCTTGGGGGAAAAAAGTGCTGTTTCACAAAGCAAACTTTAAAAAGTTTCACTAGGTGCTTCCCTGGTGGCGCAGTGGTTTAGAATCCGCCTGCCAATGCAGAGGACACGGGTTCGAGCCCTGGTCCAGGAAGGTCCCACATGCCGCAGAGCAACTAAGCCCGTGCGCCGCAACTACTGAGCCTGCGCTCTTAGAGCCCGCGAGCCACAACTATTGAGCCCGTGTGCCACAGCTACTGAAGCCCGCGCACCTGGAACCCGTGCTCTGCAACGAGAAGCCCGCGCACCACAACGAAAAGTAGCCCCTGCTCGCCACAACTAGAGAAAGCTCGTGCCGCAATGAAGACCCAATGCAGCCAAAAAAAAAAAAAAAAAGTTTCACTACCTGGGTTTCACAAAAGCTTAAAGGAAGTGGGCAATACCAAATCACACCGAGGCTGGGGTGGGATCAGAAACCAAAGCAAGGCCAGTCTAAAACATGCCTTTGATGGAAGTTAGGGCTATCGGGGTATGAAAATCAGCAGTTGGTGATGAACACATGGCGTACCTTTCCTAACAAACAAGACGTTAACCAGCTCGTGTGCCAGGTACTGGGCAAGGCCCCGGGGGGACAGAAGTGCCTCATGCTCTTTAAGAAGTTACAATCTAGTTGGGAGGATAAGGCTTTCACAGCGACAACCTCCTAAGAGAATCTGATTATCCAGTGAGTGGTTCAGACGCCAGGGAGTTGAATCACTGTGAGGCAGGATGCCTGGAAGATGTGTAGCAATCAGCAAGGTGCAGAGCGAGAGCTCGACAGGAGAGGGAACGCAGCTAGGAGAGGCAGAAACCCACGAGGCATCGTTCTGATAGCAGAGCTCGCGCAGCAGGAACGAAGGGTACGTGTACGGCAACGCCCCAGGTGCCAACCAGAGAACATCAATGATGTGAAGGACCCAATGTGGGGAGCACTGCTGACAGCGACTGGGAGACTTACAGAGACCCTGGCAGGTGCATTTTCCCACCACATGCGGCTGAAGGTGGGCTGGGCATCCACAGGGAGCCCCCTCTCGCCTGACCCCCGCTCTGCTCTCAGGGAGGAGCCTATCCCCCACTCCATAAGGACCACTGGGCAGAACCCTGCTCTCAACCCGCTGGAGCCTTGCAGGAGACCCTTCTCTCCTCTGTGAACCTCACCTGAGGGTCAGACTCGCACCTTGTGTTTGATCCACTGGAAGCCCAGATTCCCAGTTTTAGAGCCAGGAGGTCACTGAGTCTAATCATTTATCTGGCAGATATGGGAAAGGAGCCTGAGAAGTTTGGAGGTGCCAGTTATCTGAGAGCCAGTTAGATATGAAAGAGTAAACCCAGGCCCTCTGATCCCAGATCAGAGTCTCTCCACCCAGCCCTCGGCCTCCTCTTCATCTACAGCTGCTTCGGGTCCTCGGGTCATGCTCCCCACACTGGGTCCTCTGCATCATTGATGTTCTCTGGTTGGCACCTGGGGCGTTGCCGTACACGTACCCTTCGTTCCTGCTGAGCGAGCTCTGCTATCAGAACGATGCCTCGTGGGTTTCTGCCTCTCCTAGCTGCGTTCCCTCCCAGGCCAGAAAAAACTCTGGGCCTGTTAACGTTGCACATGTGGGAGTGAAATAAGAGTAATTAACTGATGCACAAAGGGTCCTGGAGAACTTTTTATTGTTTAAAAATCACAACTGAAGCTTCAAAAAACATACAACCTAACACATGTCCCAGTTCCAGTGCCCTCCTCCCTGGAGGAGAGCACAGGGCTAGTCCCTCCCATCCTGCTGCCCACACTGCTAGCCAGGACCCTGCCCTGGGGAGGCTGCCTGCTCGCCCTCCTGCCCACGTGTGCTACGTCACCGGCTGGGGAGGGGCCCTGGGATGAGGTGGGGGTGACTGGCTCC